AAACACAGTTCCTTTCCGGAGGTTTGTGGGTTAGGTTCAGTAGTCCTTGGGATGGCATCAAAGGTGGTCTTGGCAGAGTTGTCCAGGGTGACAGTGCTGCCCTGAGCTGATGTGTAGTAGTCTCCAAAACGGGCCGGCAGCAGCAGCAGCAACTTCTTGGACATAGAGAGGATGCTACTGCCTCTGGGGGTGGGGATGGGGCTCAGTAGCACTGAACTACAGTGGCCTCTCACCTTGCATGGGTCCCTGTGGGAACCCCTTCCAATAAAATATTTTGGCTTTGACTAAGAAGTTTTTGTTGCTTCTCTTATTAATTGTGATTATAATGGCCAAATTTATATTATGGTTTATTCCTAGCTACTTGTTCCCCCAGTAGCCTGTCTACACAAGTGCAATGAAAAGTTTAGCCCCTCAGATAGCACTGACTACCTCCTTGGAAGACTTAACACCCAGATTATCATGACTGTCGTAGTCCTCAATGGTGACAAAAGCCTTGAACTTGGTTCAATGACCAGCCTGAGTCTGCTTCTGCACTGGCATGATCTTTAAAACTCCATCTTTAAGGGATGCTCCCAGGGAAAAATCCATAATTTCAGAGTCCTTAATGAGCAGGAAGAAAGATAGATCTCCAGGGACTTGATCTTCCTGTGATCAGGCAGCCAAGCTTGGTGACATGGATCTACTCCTTGTCTTCAGCTTTTTCTCCACAAGCCCAGTGACCCAGGCTTCTGTAGAAGCCTTCTTGGCCTCTCAAGCCTAGGTTTGTGGGTCCTCCAGACCCCACTGGTTGCACTGGACATTATCTGCCATTTGGTGTTTCCCGAGGAAGAACTGAGGGCTGCTTTAAAAAGATTTTTTTTTAAACAGGGTCTTGGTGTAGCTCAGACTGGCGTCAAACTCAAAGTCCTTGTACCCCAGCCTCCAAGTGCTAAGATTTACAGGTATGTGTTGCCACATCTGGTTCTAAGGTTCTATTCCCCACTCCCAAACAGTAATTTTAACTCTTGGGCTGATTGATGGTTTAATTTTTCCCATCAAGTATTTCTGTATTTAATTTGGCTTTGTCACTTTTTGGAGTTGCTCTCAACTTTGAGCTTTATTTGAGCATCTTCTAATGCCAAAGTTCCAATTGAGGTAACATCTACTGTGTGTATATACAGTCCTGAGTCTCACCACTGCATCCTTGAATTTCTATCCCACTGTCTCCAGGCACAGAAGGGGAGATGAAGCTTTTCTAGATCATCAACCTGATCAATGAGAACATCTTACATATTCTCAAGCCATTATTGGTTACCTGTGACTGTTGAATATGACTCAGAATGGTAGTTGGAATATCCAAGAAGGCCATTTTTTGTGTTGGCCAATTTCCTTGAAAAATTATGTCCTAGTTACTTTCTATTGGTATGATAAAACACTGACCAAAAATACCTTGGGGAGGAAAGGGTTTATTTCACCTTACAGTTTACAGTTCATCATGGAGGGGAGCCAAAATAGAAGCTGGGGGCAGGAACCTGAAGGCAACAGTTGAAGCACAGATCATGGAGGAAAGCTGTTTACTGCTAAGCCTGCTTTCCTATACAATCCAGGAATACCTGCTCAGGGGTGGCACTACCCATATTGGGCTGGGCCCTTCCAAATCACTCAACAGTCAAGAAAATGCCTCACAGATATGCCCACAGGACAATTCGATAGAGAAAAATATCCCCAATTGAAGTGCCCTCTTCCCAGGTGTGTCAAGTTGACAACTGCAGCTACCCAGCCCAAGATAATTTCTCCTCTTCATGTTGTTTTACTATATCACCTACTTGAAGTTGCTTCTACACTATGGGTATGGTCAGTCAGGGGACATGTTCTGAACTAAGGCATTTGCTCCTCCACAGTTTCAGGGCCCTGCCTCTAACTATTCTCTTGCGATTCTAAGGGACCAGAACTCCTATACACGTGGCCCACTCAAAGTTGCCCCTTGCCAGACTCACCCTCATACTCCTGGCTGGTCTAGCCAAGACCATGCTGTGCCCTGTAACCATCTGGAAAACTACCCAGGTTAGAAAGGTGCCTTTTTGTCTCCCTGCCATATCACCCTCTGTCACCCTTTTGTCCCCTTTCCTTTCCCTTTAGACCCCTCCTCCACTCACACAGTCCCCTTTCTACTTTCATGTCTTTTAAATTTTTAATACTTTTTTATTTTTTATGTGCATGTGTCTTTTGCCTGCATGTATGTAAGTGTACCTGTGTTATGCAATGCCCAAGGGGGCCAGAAGAGGGCATCAGATCCCCTGGAACTTGCAGATGGTTGTTAGCAGCCACGTGGGTGCTGAGAACTGAACCCGGGTCCTCTGCAGCCACTGCTTTTAACTGCTGAGCCATCTCTCCAGCCCTACTTTCATGTTTCTCATCTATCTATCTATCTATCTATCTATCTATCTATCTATCATCTATCTTATCTATCTATCTATCTATCTATCTATCATCTATCTATCTATCATCTATCTATCTATCTATCTATCTATCTATCTATCTATCATCTATCATCTATCTATCTATCATCAATCAATCAATCATCTATCTATGATCCATCCATCCAGTCATCCATTTAAATCTGGATTCGTGTATTTGAGAAAAGCGTTCCTTCTGAGCCTTCTGTTCTGTGGTAAGAAGTTTGTATTTTTCTGTTTTTAATCTTACTTGTTTGATCCTTGACAGTTGAGCAATTGTGTTCCTTTGGGCAGACAGGGGAAGTTCTGAGAAATACCCTTCCTGTATTTGCTATTTTTTAGGGTGTGTGTGGTCTCCCAGGCCTGTAATCCCAGTGCTCAGGAGACTGAGGAAGGAGGATTATGAGTTTGAGGCCAGCCTGGGCTATAAAAGTGACACCCTAGCTACTATGAAGTAACTAGCATCCTAAAGTGCATACTGGGGATAGCGTTTTCTAAAGGTCAATTCACATTCTTAAACTGTTAACTTTTTTATTTTGCGGGGGGAGGTTTATTTGGCTTACATCTCCCAGGTTACAGTTCATCAGGGAGCCTGTTAACTTTTTACATGAAAAAATTTTTATTTATTTGGTCTTTTTGAGATAGGGTCTCCTAGTAGCCCCCAGCTTGGAACTCACTACGTGGACCAGGCTGGCCTTGAACTCACAAAGATTCACCTGCCTCTGCCTCCCAAGTGCTGGGATCAAAGGTGTTCACCACAAGCCTGGCTATTTATTATATATACATATATACGTATATATATATGTAGATATACATATATATATGTATATATATTTTTATTTTTTTGTGTGCATGAGTGTATTGCATGTATGTAAGCGCACCTGTGTTGTGCAGAGCTCACAGAGGCCAGAAGAGGGCGTTAGAACCTCTGGCACTGGAGTTACAGAGTGTTGTTAGCCATCATGTGAGTGCTGGGAATTGAACCTGGGTCCTCTGCAAGAGCAGTTAGTGCTTTTAACCACTGAGCCATCTCTCTAGTACCAATTTGTTACATTTTTACACGTGCATATTCATTCTATTATTCTTCTCCCCCTCACTTCCCTTGCTTTAGAGTAAATTGCAAAATGTGTCTTTTTTTTTTTTTTTGAGACAGGTCTCTCTACATAACCCTAAACTGCCTTCAAATTTGTCATTCTGTCTCAGCCCGAGTCCTGGGATTACAGGCTTGTGCCACACCACACCTGGCATTCCTTAAAACAAGATTTTACTTTATTTTTGTTATTTTCTCTAACCATCACAGTACAATTATTTAAGTCAAGAAAATAACCCTGATACAAAAGCATTACTTAATCTACAAATATTCAAATGTAGTTAGTTGTGCCAGTATGTTCTTTATAGGAAAAGAAGAAAAATGTGTGTTTTTTTTTTGGGGGGGTAATTTCTTGTCTCCATTAATCTGGAAGAATTATTGTCTATCTTTCATGAGCTTGACAATTTTGAAGAGTGCAAGTCAGTAATTTTCAAGACTCCTTCAATAATGAGTATGTCTTGTGCTTCTCCATGTTTAAATTCATGTTATATGGAATGGGCATGATTAATGCTAAAGAGCTGATCAGTGTTTTTCCTAACAGTTCATTGGTATTAATTGGTATTCACTTCGTGTGTATTCAGCGCCCTCCCCCGCTCCCCCACCCCCGCCCTTTTCTTGCTCTCCTAACTTTGTAGCCAGGCTGGTACTATTCTGCCTCAGCGTCCCAAGTGCTGCTCTGCGTAGCTCACTTGTCCTACTTCTGGGATCATTTAGTTTTCTGCAGCGCCTAGATTCAAAACTAGAGCCTGGCATGAGGCAGGCAAGCTACATCCCCAACCCTGGCGAAATTTCTTCCTTTAACATAGGGTGGTATCTGCCGTATTTTCCTACTGTAAAATGTTTCCTTCGCCCTTTGTAGTAAGTAGTTTATGGAAATACTTTGAGCGTTTAAACGTTTTATTTCCAATCGTACTTATGCTGCCTAGTTTGACAGCTTCATAAGAGGTTAAGACTTAAGGATCCTGCATGTCCCAGGGCTAGATCGTATCCCTTGTGTTAAGCAGGTTGCTTGATATATTCTAAATTGCTGCCCTTTTTGTATTCGTTTCTTATATATCAGTGGCTAGTTTAGATATTTATGTCATATTCCTGTCTTTCCCCGACGGTGAGTTCGCTGAGGGTAGGCATCATGTTATGACTTACAGTTCCTTTCTCCCCAGTGCCTAGCACAGACGCAGTGCTTGAAAAATTAAGCTTTCCAAGTACTGTGGTAATTACGGGAGAAGACACGTGCAGCACTCGGCGCGAGTCTGGCTTTTTCCTTGGTCCGTGTTCTAAACGAAGCCCGAGCGAAGGCCGTTGAGGGCGTGGCAAGTGGGGTCCCTTCGGAGGGGACGCCGGTCCCGTCTTCTCTTTGTCGCCCAGGCCCCAACGCTTCCGCAGGGTGTGGAAGGAGGTGGGGCGGGAAATCTAAAACCCAGTTCGCAGCTTTCGTCATCGCTCGTGGGCGGTGCTCCCCTTTGACCCCTAGCTCTTGTGCTACACATCCGGGCCACTGTTACTAGCGAGGGGAAGATGGCGGCAGCAACAGTGGTGGTTCCCGCAGAGTGGATAAAGAACTGGGAGAAATCTGGAAGAGGCGAATTGTGAGTGTCCGGGTGGGAGGCGGATGCCAAGCCGGCTGGGCCTGGGGCTTCTGGTGCCCTCGGAAGTGCGCAGCGGGGTCGCGCTGGCGGCGCCCCTCCCCCACCAGGGCGGCGGTTGGGCATGGTTGGCCAGGAGTTTAGAACTGATGGCGGAGCGGAGCCGCTGTCCAGAGCCTGCCTTCGCGGGCTTGTCAGAAGGCCCGGGTGCGGAAGGCCGGCTTCGTCTGGCAGAACTTCCGTGTGGTCATTGCGGGTTCCCCTGCGCTCCCGATCTCTCTTTTTGTCTTGTTCTGTGATTTTGCCGGAGAGCCCTCGCCTCCTCGAAGCTCGGTTGCGCTTCCGCTCAACTCCACACCGAGGCGACTTCGGGACCCCCCGAGTGTAGCGAGGGCGAACTGTCCCGAAGTCCCCAGTCCGTGCCGCCCGTGGCGGAGCAGCCGGCTTGGCACCCCGGGTCCTCCGGGGAGCGCCATCCTGGGCGCCCTGGTGCTGAGCTGGCCCTCGGTCCCCGGGGGAGTGTGGCCGGGTTGCCGCTGCCCGCCAAGTCCCTGCCCACGTTTCCCCTAGAGCGTTTCGGGTTGGAGTCAACTTTTCATTATTACACGTTTCCTGAACCCCATTTTGTCCTGGGACGGTAATTCTGGCTCGTCTCCAAGCTTCTCGAGCACTTAGGATAACACGTTTCCTTTAAGGCTTAAAACTTATTTTTTTTAACCCCCTGTAATATAGAAAACATCAATTTGCCATACTAGCAGTTTACTGCCCCAGATAGCCTCCCTGCCTGGTTTAAGCAGCAAAGGTGGGGGTTACTGGACACAGTAATGGGTTCCTGGTGTTTGGTTCTAACTACCAAAGTTTCCAAGAGTCCAGCTTCACAGCAGCAAGCGTGGACCCGCTACTGGAACAGGGTACCTCTCTTACTAAGAACTTGCTTTCCCATAGAAAGCACAGTAGGTGAAGGAAGATAACCCAAATGGCTAAGCAGAATTGATCTCACAAGGGACTGTGCGCTAAGGTTCCATTGCGATTGAGAGAAGGAAATTAAAAGTCTTTTTTTCTAATCTCCGGTTAATTTTGCTGCTGAGTGACCTTGGGTAAGTTCCTTTACCACTTTGACTTTCCCAGTCAGTAAACTGGGGATTGTAAGGAAGGAAGCTAAAGTCTGTAAAGCACTTGGTTTATCTAAGTGCTCAAGTGAAAGCCATTAACAGTAGTTATTATTCCCGCCTTTAGATATTTAAACTTCTCAGGGCTGCTCTTCCACTTAAAGTCTACTATGGTTAGCAATAAATTGGCCTCTGACTTCATGTGTATTTACTCTTGTTTGCTGATGAATTGAGGTCCTTGAAGAAAAGGACCAGTGTCTCGTAGAATGTCATATTTCTTTTGGTTCACCATCCCCTCCAGCATATGCGTATGTTTAGTGTTTTATTAACTCGAAGGTAAAGTCTATTTGATAAGCATTCATGTTTAATTTTTATGTGCTAGTTAACAAATAGCCATCAGGTGCCTTATGTGCAGAGAAGGCAGGATGGGAAGGTACCCAACCAAACCACCATCTTCATGTATTTGGGGCTAATCCTCAAACAGATAACCCAGTTCTTTGTTGTTTAGCTTGCTTCTGAAACCTATTCGTTTAATTGGGGACTGTCATCCTTGTGGGCTGCTCAGCTTCCTCTTTCAGCTGGATTCCCTTGCTCCTTGCTTTTTGGTGGTATTTAGTAGTGCACACCCCATCAGTGAGCTCTGTATACAGGCCTCAGCTGCTGTTTTTGACAGTTTTAATATTATGGCTTCCTCCTTAGAATGACCAGTATTAGGGATCCGAGGAGTTCTGCTTGACTTCTGACTGGCAGTGGTTGAAGAAAAACTAAAGTGATGTATGACGCCAGAAACACGTAGTTAAGATGGAATTTTGAGTTTATGTATATTTACATGATCTGTTTTGCTGTCATAGTTCCTGTGTTAAAGGAGCTACTTAAAAACTTAAGTACACGTATGCATTTATTGTGTAGCTTATGGAATATGATTTGAATTATAGTAGATCCAAATCAGTATAGCCAATTTTATAGTTATATTCTGTTGCATTAAGTAATGTACAAAGCGTACAAAGTCAGAGTTTTTTTATGGCATTTTCATACATATATCGTATTGTCTGTCTCCTCCCTCACTGCCCTCCAGTCACCTTGCTGGTCTCCTGAGTTGTCCCCCACTGCTTACATGTCTCAGGTTCCCTTACCCACTCTGAATCTCTGTCTCCTTTCCCTTAAGGTCTCTTCTGCCCTCACTGTCTCCTCTCTACTCGCATCTATCCATCTCTCAGTCAATCAATCAATCAATCAATCAATCAATCAATCAATCAATCAAAACATTCAGTATTTGTCTTTCTGAATCTAGATTGTTTTGCTTAAAATAAACGATTTCCTGTTTTACCTGTTTTCCTGCAAAAGTCATGATTTCATTTTCTTTTTGCCCAGCCCTTTTAAAATTCTTTTTTATTTAGTTATTTTTCTGCGACAGAATCTCCTGTATCCCATGCTGGCCTTGAACTGGCTATATAACTGGGGATGACCTTGAATTTATGTGCCTCCCTCTACTTCCCAAGTACTTGGATTACAGGCGTACCACACCTGGTTTATGGAGTGCTGGGGATCAAACCGTGGTGCATACTAGGCAAGCACTCTACCAACAGAGCTGCATCTCCAACCCTTTCATATTATATTTTGAGACCAGGTCTTGCACAGTCTAGCCTTGAATTTGTAATCCTCCTGCTTCAGCCTCCCAGGTGCCTGGGATTATAGGCTGCTACTACCGGGCCCTGGTATAATGAAATATTTTAAACAATTATTGTTTAATTATATGTTTTTTGAGATAGGGTCTCACTGTATAGCCCTGGCTGGCCTGGAACTCACACTACATGGACCAGGCTGGCCTCAGTCTCATAGAGGTCTACCTGCCTCTGCCTTCCAAGTGCTGGGATTAAAGGTGTATGCCACTACTTAAATTATTAAAATATTTTAAACACATCAGAATTCCATATTTCATTTTCATATATTTGTCCTCTTTTCTGTCTATAAAAACTTTGTTTCATATAGCTTTATTTGGGAGGTTTTTTTGATCATGCTTGTAGATATTAGCATTTTCATTTTGTTAAAAGTATTGTAACTATATTTTTGGAATATGATTATATGTAAAATTTTTTTTGGTCTTTTTAAAAATTTTTGAGACAGGGTCTCCCTGTAGCTCCAGCTGGCCTGGAACTTACTATGTAGACCAGGCTGGCCTCGATCTCTGTGAGATCAGTCTACTTCTGCCTCCCAAGTGCTGGGATCAATGGTATGTGCAACTGTGTCCAGCTGTAAAATTATTTCTTATGTGAATTTCCCCTTCTGCAAAATTTATTTTTAAATATTTTTGCTTTTTTGAGAAAGGTCTTTAAAATTTTTTTTCTGATTTATTTTTATTTTATGTGTATGTGTATTGCTTGCATGTGTATAAGTGCATCTGGGCATTCAGTCATCTTACTTTATACCTATCTGGCCTATAATTTGTTTTGTAGACCAGGCTGGCCTCGAACTCACAGAGATCCTTCTGTCTGGGATTAAAGGCTTGTGCCACCATGCCTGGCTTGTGTGTTCCATCTTACCAGTATAGTAAGACTGTTCTGAGAGTTACAGTCATAGTGATTTTTAAAAGCAGTGCGGGCTAGAAATAAACTCAGAGGTAGGGCAACATGCAGAGCATGCTGTGAGCCCCTGGGTTTCATCCTCAGCACTGGAAAGAAAGCAACACAACATGTATAGGGCATTTTGTAATTTTCAAGGACAAATTCCTTTTTTTTCTTTAATGAAAAATTCCTTTTTTTTTTAACTTTTCTCCATCCTAAAATATGCTGATTGAGAAAAATATCTAAGTTTTTAAATTTTAAATTGATTTTTTATGAATTTCACACATTTTACTTTGATCTTATTTAGATACACTACTCTATCTGCACCCCTCCTTAATACTCTCCACCAGATTTCATATATTCTGTTTATATTAAGGTCTGTAAAATCAAATTTGTGTTCCCAAATGCCCATCAGTGTGGGTCCATCCATTGGAGCCTGTTTAACCTATCCAGTGTCACACCCTTAAATAAAACTGACTCTCTCTTTCCGAGTAGCTGTGGGTTGCCAGTAGTTAGTTTCTCAGGTAGGGTTGGGGCCTCTTACCCATTTCTGGAGTCTATTTCTAGCTTAAGCTATACAGCTTTTCTGCACATCTGGACTATATAGTGAGACCTTATATCAAAAAAGAGAAAGGGAGGAAAAAAAGAGGAAATACACTTCAGAAAACAATGCAGCAAAACAAGTTCTACAGAGTAAATTTTAGAAACACATCTAGCCAGGCATGGTGGTACATGCCTTTAATGCCAGCACTCAGGAGACAGAGATCTCTGTGAGTTTGAGGCTAGTCTGGTCTACATAGCAACTTCCAGGACAGCTGGGACTATAGGGAAACCTTATCTCAAAAACATCATTTTAGACTGAGTACTGGTATACACCTTTAATCCCAGCATCAGGAGGCAGAGGCAGAGAAATATTGGTGAGATCAAGGTCAGACTGGTCTACATAACAAGTTTTAGGCCAGCTGGAGCTACAGGGAGACCCTATCTCAAAAAGAGAAAAAGAAAAAAAAAAGGAAAGAAAAAACCATTACAGTTTAGGCATCTTTCCTTATTCATCTTGGAAAAGATCATGTTAGAAGGTCTATAATTTATCATTTAAGAATATAATTTGGTATCTCTGAAAACTAATAATGTATAAGTACATGAGGGATGGACTATCTTGATATACTTTTCTGTTTTATTACCTAAGAGAGCTTACTCTTCAAAGCTAAGGTTTTCTAGTAGATAGTTACTTTTCATAGAGCACTATTTAAAATTTGTCTTCGTTAGCCAGCAGGGCATGGTGGTGCACTCTTTTAATCTCAGCAGAGGCAGGGGATCTGAGTTCAAGGCC